TTTCCTGTTGGTGTGCATCCATTTGCTTTCTGTTTGCTTCCGGTTTTCATTAATGGTCTTAACATAAAAATACAATTTGCTGACGTTTAACTGGTTTGGCGGACGTTAATAAATTTTTAAGCGTTGTTTGATTTAATTTTTTGCCACCACTTTTGCGAGAACCCCAAAATGTGCCGAGAGTTGATTGATTGCATCGCTCCATGGGAAGATATTCGGGCCGGAGGCTCTCCAGCTGGGCCAAGGTGTTGGAGTTGGTTAAGTGTGTGGCCCGGAGGGTTTCCGCCTGATCACCCTTCCAATCAATTTGTTTACGCTTATGGATACGCCAGCCGGCGTATTTGCACTGGGGGATTTTCGGATAAACAACGAGTCGGCTAAGCGACTGCTTGGGCTAATGTATTGCACAAGTGGCGGAGATCGTTAAGTAGACAGCCTCGAGGAAATTAATTCCCCTTATTCAAGGGCAAAGCACCTCGAGGCGGGTGACTTTAATACACATTGAAGGTGTACCTATTCTTGGTAAAAGCCGGAGTACTTACACCTGACAGCCTTGTACCAACAAAACTGAAACCCAACAACTAGTAAAGGAAAGGAATGGAAAGCATTTATATTGTAAATATAGGTTTTCTATAAAAAATGTAATTAAGCACAAATATTTGAATAAAACCAAATCTTTTAAAAATTTTATTTGTTCCAATCGCTATTAATTTTCCCAAAAGACTGCCAAGTAACATTGGTAATTTAATTAAATGGCGTAATGTCCTGATTCCAGGTTAACTGACAACTGCAGTGGCTGGCAAAATCTGGGGTACACCTGCACCTGTTACTGCAGCAGCAATAAACCAAAACAGCAGCTCCGATTTTCCCCCTACACAAAATTGGGCGGCACTCTCCCCCAACTTCTCCGCTTTCCTGTCAGCCTTTTCATTTAATTGCGGTCGACTTTTGGGGTTTTGACTTACACAAGGCGAGAAAATCGGGGGGAGTGGTAGGAATGCTCTTCACTCGGCAGCAAAATGCCAATCATCAATCAAGGTGATTTGTTTCAATGCCCCCCAGCCACACATTTCACGCTGTTGTGCATTTCGGAATGGACAGACACTGATATCCGGCGAGGGAGTCAGGGGGCTCATGAAGGGGTTTTGGAGGGGTTTTGGGGAAGGGAATGCGGAGGTTCATTCGGCTTGGCACATGTGGCCAATCACTTGCATCCACTTCGATTGCTGTGGTTTGCTCACTCTCATCCGCTCCACAAAGCGTTTATATGCGACATGGTTGCCAGACTTGAAAATGACAAAGATAAATTAGAATAAAGATTTTTGATTTTCTAGTCTTTCCATTTAGAGAAGTTTTGTTTTGTGTTCCCAATCGTTTCCTACATAAACATTGTGAACTGCTGCACGCATAAACGCAGTAACTTCCTCCTGGCAGTTGTTGTTCATCAATGAATTCAATCACGAAAATGCTGCCCCATTTGGCAGAGTCCCTTTCTCGTTGTCTACTCGCACTCACACTCACTCAACACTCACACTTGCACAGACAACACTCCTTGCCGCACTCATTCATTCGTTGCATATTCATGAGGATGGCCTTCTTGTTTGAGTTACCGACGTGGCTTTGATTTAATTGCCTTGATTTTGTCTATAATTTATTTTAAGCCGTATCCCCGGACCAGAGATCTACCAATTTTTTCTACCACCAGCCACCAGTTTTTGTTCGGATTTCGGGTTTGGGTAAATATTTCGTTTAATTCACACATGACCGAAGCTGCATGTCGGCTTGGTTGGTCATGCTGACATTTTTTTACACACTAATAAAAGCAGATAAAATGTTAGCTATTTCTTTAGTGAAGGTATGTAGGTTTTATGAAATGAAATTTAAAAGGAACTTACAAAATATTTACAAAATTAATAGTGTTGACAAAAATGAAACAACTACAAATTTAATCTTCTGAAGATTTAATTTAGATTTTTAAATTACCTTAGCTTGAAGGCCTTTATGACAATATTTGAAAATAAACATAAAATGTTGCATCGCAATGGAATAAGTTGTAAAGTGTCAAGCCAAAACCAGAGCATTCAATAGCTCAACATGCCTTCGCCTAACCTTCGTCTGCAAAAATATTTTACTTTATCCTTGCTTTTCCGTAAGACTCTGCTCTTCCTGCTGGAAAACCGTAACAGTGCATTTTGTGCGCTTTAAAAAGTTGTGGGGCTACCGCTATTTTTATGCGCCGTTCACTTTTGTCGCCATTCCAAGCGCCAAGAAAAATAAGAAGAAAAGCTGGCTGTCTCCGGGATTTCTCCACCTCTCCCCAACCTTTTTCTCTTGCTTGCAGTCATGTTTCATACTTTTTCACAGATATTTTTTAGCACTTTTTTAAATTCCGAAAGAGGTGTGCGCATAAATTTTTTGGTGCCCTGCAGGCGAATTCCTTATGCAGAATATTCCGCAGTGGCAAAAATAAAGCGCTGAAGCCCGTGGAGGAAACGAAGAAACATGGGAACTAAATTCAGTTTAAGGCCAGACTTATTGTAATTTGATTTGGCCCGCCCCCCGCATTTCCACCCACCCGTTACCGATTTTGGTTATTTCATTTTCCCAGCGACAACAAATGTCATTTCCTGTCGCCGTGTGATTTGTGACCCGAGAAATCGTAATCGCACTTTATCTATTAGTTACATTCTCCTGCCACGCCCTCCAACTCCCAGTCGACCTTTAATGAAATTTACTCGGGTCGCCTTCGCCCCGTTTCTATTTACTCTTGCGCCACGAAATTAATAAAGGACCTCGTTGTCCCTTTCCCTTTCGCCTTCGATCGGCATACGGCCAAGTGGAAACTTAATCCCCAAGGAAATTATGTGAAAAATGTGCGTTGGGTTTGGCTTTGTTCAGCACTCTCCTTTTTTCTTGCAGGTTTGCTGGTGATTTTGTATTATTTCTCTGATGCTCTAAGTTGTTAAGCGGCGAATAGCTGTGAATATTTTTCGTTGGTTGGCTTAAAACATTCAGCGTATGGCCGGAAATATAAACTAAGAAAGGGTTGCGGGTGTGGCGAAGGGTATATCAACAAAAGCAACGTGACCCCTTTTTCATTTCGTGTTCGGAGCTGTCCTTTTCCTCTGCTTTTCCAGAATTTGGGGTTCATTTTTAAGCTGCGCAATTATCATTAAGTGGTTACCGCTTCTGAAGGTCAGAGGCGTTCCCTACTTTAGCGTACAAAGGGCTTGAAAAAGATTTTAAATGATCATCGATCTAAGGTAAAAAAATTTTATATTGGCAATCGATTGAATATTCATTCGAAAAAAAACTAAAACCTTTCAAACAAGGAACGAGAATTAGTTCTGACAGCTTATAAATTAATCGAAAACACTAAAAAACTAGTTGTCTATTGGAATTAGATACATCTACGGTTAGTACCCCTCTTTACGGCAACGAAGCCCCTGTCTTCTATCAGCATCCTTTTTAGGGACCCTCCGGTGGTTTCTTTCTTCCACTTACTTTTTCTTGGCGCGTTTTATGTTTTTTTCTGGTAATTGTATAAAGGTTGCCGGCAATTTTGTTCAATTTGTATGCGTCCTTTTTCCTTGCTCTGCGTACGGATGTTTTACGTAACGGATAATTTGTGCGCCACACGGCGTATAAGTTATGCGATGACTGCGTAATGCGGCTTTCACATGAGATACGTTTGATGGATAGATTTACTTCATTGAGAGGGACTGTCTAATCAGGACAATTGTCTTTTGTCCTTTGTGAAGGTCCGCAGACGGTCCAAAGTGTCAATTACAGTCGTTCACGTGCTCGAGATCGTGAAGGGAAACGTGGAAACTACGGCGATATGCGTGGAAGGAGGAGTTTACCTAATGCTCTTGTAATTGTCAGGTCATTGTTTTACCGCAGACATAACATCCTAATTAGGCCAGAACATAACCCATTAATTAGCTGAACTTAATGCGAGACAATAGCCACCGAAGATAAAACATTTGTTTCTGTTTTTCAACGCGACCTATAACATCGTAAGTTAAATCTTTGATTATAAGCATGAACTCAAAAACAAGTCGCTCTCATCGGTTTTCTGCACTGTGCGCTTTATTAAGTAATAAATAAAAGTTTGTACATTTAAATTTTAAAATACCTTCTTAATACAGCTAGCCCAACATCAACAACGTAAGTTTACTTGCATTATATTTCAAAGCAAAGTGCCATGCATTTGGAAATCTTGTTCAATAAGCTTTTGAATCTGCTAACTGGTAATTATTTCATATTTACTTGTGTTTTCCCCTGACAAACACCTTACAATAAATTTAAGCAATTTTAGCAAAGAGCCAAGTCCAAAAATATAAATATAGAAAACGTAATCAAAATGAAGTCATCTAGAAAAGGACTTGGCCATTTTCCCATTGTGTGTGATAATTAAATATGCTGGATTAAGTCCATGAGCATCTACCTAAGTAATCGCCAGGCCAGACACTTTTGGGATCTTCCGGGCCCTTTTGCTGGCAGTCATCACCTGTGTGTCCACTCAGTTTTCCGTCTTTATTTCATTTTAATTACATTGCATTTAAATTTTACATTGCCAGGGGTTGTTTGATGGCCGGCTTCAGGGCTCCGGCAGTCAAATCAGGCGAATGATAAATTGATTGCAAACGCATATACTATACATAAGGATGCCCTTATTCATGCGTGTCCTTATGTGCATACTTGCATTGAGGATCTGAATACTCGCTGTTTGCCTGGCATTGGGACTTCTCTGCTTCATCCTGCAAAAGCAGGGCTTTAATAAATTTTACGCATAAACTGTCTCTGATTGAATTACATTTAATTGATTCGCCAGACATTTTGCTGTGATTTCGTAGTTTCACTTCAACTCTTTGCTCATCATACTGTGCTTGATTTAATATGGCCAATATTGTTGTCTTAATTATAGTTCTTTTTAGACTGCCCTACAATCTTCAATCCCTTTGCAAATTACACAACTTTAAAAAGTATTATTAAGCAAATTGTGAATTAATGGAAATGTTTATTTTTAGTACATTGTTAGTTGTATTTTTAGTAACCAAACAGCATGTGAACTCAATTTAATTGAAGAGCAACAGATAGAACAAAATTATGCTTCAGTTTTTTCAAGTCTATAATAGTTTAGTTTCCTATTTAGTTATCAATCAACAAAATAACTGCATTCTATTTAAGAACAACCGAATGAAATCATAACATATAATAAAAAAATAAAAAATTAATTTTGAGGCAATAAAAGTGGGTTTGCGTTAATATTAAAAAAAATCATAAGTTATATATCTCATATTGTGTGTTTGAAAATAATGTTGGAGTCCGTACTAAAGAATGATTATTTATGCATGAAAGTTACTATATATTTATGGTGGATGGCTTTGGAATTAAGCTTTGAACATAACTTTAACTTTAATGTATTATTATGGCTAGTTCAACTTCGCTTTTGTGTCTTCTTCATTCGTCGGCAATGGAATCTTCGAAACTCGAAGGAGGTGGGCTGGCACTCCAATCTGGATCATCGCTTTTGTTATCGGACGACTGTAGAACGCCGCTCTTATAGTTGACCCGCTTCCGAGCTCGCTTGCCCTTTCCTAGGGTCTCGCTAGGACCTTCCTGGGGTTGCTCATTCGTATTGGCCATTTGTGGCCATTTGTTTTCCTTTCCTTCCGATTCCTTAGTGGCATAGGACGCCACCTCGAAGGAAGAAAGATACTCCTTGGTCCACGATTCCTTCTCCTCGATGCCGCGATCGGTGCGGTCGAGCAGTGCGGCCACCGCCTGCTCGTCGTAGTGTATAGCCTCGACCTTGCCGTCCTCCTGGAAGAGCTCCTCGGTTCCGAACCGAAGGATGTCCTCGAGCTCTTCCTTGGTGAAATTGCCACCATTGCCGCCCATTCCCGGGCGCACCACAAGGTGGGTGAGCATCATCTTGTGCTTGGCCCTCTGCATGATACGTTCCTCCACCGTATTTCGGGTTACAAACCGGTAGATCATAACCTTGTTGGCCTGGCCGATGCGATGGGCTCGGGCGATGGCCTGAATGTCGTTGTGCGGGTTCCAGTCCGAGTCAAAAATGATGACCGTGTCGGCAGTCGCTAGGTTGATACCCAATCCTCCTGCTCTAGTGCTCAGCAGGAAGACAAATATCTCCGATCCTGCGGAGTTGAATGTATCAATGGCCTCCTGACGCATTGTGCCCTTTACGGCGCCGCAGATTCGCTCGTACGCGTACTTCTCTCCCTGCAGGAAATGCTCTAATAAATCCAGCATCCTGGTCATCTGCGAAAAGATCAGAACCCGATGCTTTTGCGCCTTCAGCTGCTTGAGCATCTTGGAGAGCAACACCAACTTGCCGGAGGACTCAGTCAGCGAATTGATTTCGTAGCAGCCTCCAAACGTGATGGCTGCCTCCTCGGCAGCCGAGGAGAACAGATAGGGATGGTTGCAACATTTTCTCAATTCCACCATCGTGTTGAGCAGTGAACACTTGCGGCCGGCGCCTTTGGAATTTAAAGCGCCCAAATTTTTGGTCAAAATGAACTTGTAGAACTTCTTCTGCATAGCCGACAGCTCCACGCGCACGATAAACTCAGACTTGGGGGGCATTTTTTTCAAGACATCCGCCTTTAAACGGCGCAGCATGTGGGGCCTGAGTATCTCGTGCAGGCGCTTCACCTGCTCCTCTTTCGTAACGTCGGCGAACTCGTCCTGGAAGGCACGCAGATTATCGAACTTGTGCGGACTCAGGAAGTTGAGCAGATGAAACAGCTCCTCGAGATTGTTCTGCAGCGGCGTGCCGGTAAGCAGCAACTTGTAGTCGATGTAATACCTGCTCAGGGTCCGGAAGAACTTGCTCAGGCTGTTTTTTAAGCGATGAGCTTCATCCACCACCAAAGCAGCCCATTCAATACTCCCCAGGACGGCAACGTCCATTGAAATCATCTCGTAACTGGTCAGCACCACGTTGAACTTGAACTGGGTATTGGTGATTCTCGTCTTTCGAAAGGCACCCTCCTTAAGGCCCATCTCGTTTTTTCGTATGATAGCTCTGGAGGCCCTGCAGCCCACATAGGTGATGCAGTAGAGGTCCGGAGCCCACAACTCCAGCTCCCGCTCCCAGTTGACGAGAGTGGAGAGCGGCACGACCACGAGGAAGGGTCCGCGGCAGTGGCCCTCCTTGAAGAGCGAGTACAGGAATGTCGACGTCTGAATGGTCTTACCCAGGCCCATCTCATCGGCAAGGATGGTGTGGATGTTCTGGCCCCAACAGTGGCGAAGCCAGCTGACGCCCTCGAGTTGAAAGGGATGCAGTTGCAGACCGGTCCCCTTTAAGAAGGCCGGCTGATCCTCGTACTTCTGGCTCAGGTCCGTACTGGGCTTATTGTTGTTGAGATCCATCGTGGAGCTACAGGCCTGCAGGTAGAGTTCAATGGCGCGCCCTAATCCCTGGACATAGTCCTCGTCCTGCTCCCAGGTGGAATCGGCGTAGGGCAACTCCCGCCACTTTACCAAGTAGACTGCGGTGCCGTCGGGCTCTTCGCGATGACCGATAATCCTCTGGAGGAGGAGCCACTGCGGCTTAACACCATGTCTGTAGAATCTGTCTTTCAGATCCCCATCCTCGTCCTCGAATTCGTCGATTATGGGCGGGTCCTCCATGTCGTTGTTCATACAAAAGAAACGCGTCATATTCGAATGGTGCTCCTGCATCAGCACGTCGGGCACCCATGCGCAGTGCCAGTAGGATTTGTTGTGCCACTTGACGAAGTACTCGCGCACCCTTGACCGCTTTGCTACTCTTTCGTCGGCCCATCGCCAAGATAATATCTTTTCGACTTTACCGGGAAGCGGAATGCAGCGTGGACAGGTCCAGTCGCCCTTGGGAATGGACTTCAGAGGAGGATCCAAGCAAGTCAAGTGATACACAAGAGGACACGAATCGCAGCATAGCAGATCGCCTCCATCCTTGCAAACTCGACAAAACTCTTCGTCGCTCAATTTGCTCTTTTTGGCCTTGTTTTGCGGTCGTTTTTTCTTTGTGTCCATTTTCCTTTTTGGTGCCATCACTGGAGTAGTTCCTTCCAAAAAAATTTATTTAATTGCGCGTTATTCAAATTTGTTTTTGGAAACAGTTTACTGGCTAGAGGACCCAGCGTACGTGTGAGCGGGAAAAGTCAAATAAATACTAGCTTCACATATACGGTCCTACAAAGATCCGTAGAAAAACACATTAAGGGCATTCGCTTCTGTAAATTCTTAGTATTTTTGTTCTACATTTTTTTGTATTGTTACAAAAGATATAACTCTCAAAAACTACATATTTTTACTTTAAAAAAATTTATTTAATTGCGCGTTATTCATATTTAATTAGGAACACAATTCACTGGCTCTGGGACCTAGTGTAACTGCGAGCGAGAAAAATCAAAAAAATACTAACAACACAAATACGGCCCTACAAGCGATCAATAGAAGAATAATATTTTTCCCAACTGTCTTTGAACGATTTTTTTATTTCTGTGTACCCTATTTCCAGTGTGGTATTTAAAAGACGTAGTGTGCCCGCATTTACAGGACTTATCGTCAGCTGCGTTTGTTGATCAACAAATCAAAGCCGTTTCTATTGGATGCTAATTCACATTGAACAGCTACATGTATGAGGTTCTTGGTAGGGGCGTACAAAGTATTTTTATAGCCTTGCAGACGGTATTATAATTTCAGTCAGAAGTTTGCAACGCAGTGATCGAGACTAGAGATGCCACAAATATTCGGCTACTATTCGGTATTCGGCCTATTCGGCCACTTTGTTCGGTATTCGGTATTCGCCCGGCTGACAGCATTGCCAAACATTCGGTATTCGGCGAGATCACTAATAGTGGCACCTCTAAAGCAGACACCACAGATCCTTAAGGTATATACTTTATATACTTTATACATATATTCTTGATCAGCATCGCGATCAGAAACGAAATACCTCTGTGCGGACCAGTGTTGCCAACTCTGAGTTCATATATAACAGTGGAAGCGAAAATAAATAGCCAAAAATAGCTAAATTTCTTCAAAAATAGTAAATTAAAATAGCCGTTAGTTTTCAATAATAAAATCTTTTTTTTTGTACATTCAGTGTTGATTATTTAATGATTTTTCTTCGGTAAGCAAATTGCTTAAAATTTTCCCAATTTCTACCTCCTCGGAACTCAAATACTTTCCCATTGTACCAATCTGTGAAAGGCACTTAGGGGGACGTCGTTCTGAAAACAGAATTCAATGTGCACTTACAATATTTGCAAAATGCTTTTGATTTGTTAGTTAAATCTTTTGTAACCCAGTCCTTAAATTGGGGATCCTCCAACCAAGCATCGCGAACATTTTGTTTATACATTTTAAGAAACAACCGCACAAACACAATAACCGGTGAATTTGAATGTAGAGATGGTAGCCTTGCGAGCGCGAAACGATGTTGAGAAAATACGAAGTACCCAAAAGCTACAAAGGGGTAAATAATGTTTTTGTTATTTAAAATACACAATTCGGTCACGTTGGGCGGTAAACATGGTGTCTATGTATCAATAGCCACAGACAATGTCTCTATTGCCAATATACGATTTCCGAAAATTTAATTTGAAGGTCGACGGTTTTTTTGTCGACTATAAATAATATCAAATATTACAAAGTATTTAAAATAGCTAAAAAATAGCAAATTTTTTTTATGAAATAGCCATCAGACAGGCTCCTGCAAAATTGAGTGGTTTCTAGTTTAAGGTCATGCTAAATAGCCAAATCTGGCCAGAAAATAGCCAAGCTGGCAACACTGGTGCGGACAGACTTTTTATTTGAAAACTAGTCTCTCAGTTTTAAAGCTATCTTGCTGAAACTTCTTCAAAAGTTGTGTAGTCATTGCACGCAGTATATATGTAAGTCGGAACGGGCCGGATAGGGCTTACTACATATATGCTATCCGATATATCCCATACGAGAGAATGAAATAAAAAGTTCTCAGGACGTTGTTTTTGATCAGATGGACTTATTTTCTTCCAGATAACGTTTTCTAACTGCACGGATATGATTTTTAGAATATCGAGTTTTTTTTAATTACTCTTGAGTCGAGAAAAATATTTCATAAAAATATAATATACTGTATCATATATGTATGTATGTATGTAGCTGCCATAGGGAAGATCAAAAAATCTACATATATAGAATTAACGGAAACAAAATGTAACATCGTTGTTTTCTATCAGACAATCATGATTTTTGGAAATTATACTTTTTAAACGGCTCTTGAGTTTCGAATTAAAGCTCATAAAAATCGGACTATATCTGTCAATCCTCGAAAATATAAAAAAATAATTAAAAACTGTTAATAGCTTCGATATTTTTTACCGTTTTTGTTTTGTAAGGTAAAATTGATGACTGCAAAGGTATATAAGATTCGGGTCGCCAAAGCTTGCTTCCTTTTTTGTTTTTTCTATGGTAGGTTACTTGCTAAAGGATCTTTTTTATTTTAAAATAAATTATTAAATTATTCTATGAATGGTATACTATGAAGTTCACTTGAAAAGTGGAGTAGAAAAAAATATATTTACAGAGAATGTTAAAGTTGAATTAAAGGCGATCTATTTACGGCTTTAATTTAACTGAAACTGAGAGTTAAAGTTCCTGTCTGCGAATCGAGGCCTGCGTTTATCCCAAAACCAAAAAGCAGCCGCAGAGCAACGAACCGGCGACCGCCGAAACATTTCAAAGACAAGCCACCAACAGCAGAAACACCGTCAACAGTCGGCAACACCAACATCACCATCACCAACAGGATGAGGACAATGGATTAACTCAAACTCGAACTCAAACCTTGTAACTGCCTGACCGCACATTCACTGACAAAGTGGGTGGCATGTGGGCAGTGGGTGGTGGGCAGTGGGTGGCAGCCGAGTGGGTGGCAGGACAAAGAAGTGAGGGCCAGTTGATGGCCACATGTCACAGACATTATGGAATCATGAACTTATGTGCACCTGTGCGTGTTGGCGGGGCGGAACTGGCGAGGGTTCTGGACTCCATTGAGGTTATACCTGTGTGGACTTGTGGCCCAGGACAGCGATTTGTGGTCCGGTTGGAGATGGCAGCGTGATTCGGATGGGATTTCAGTGAAAGCAACGAAATCTTTTTTAAAAATGTAAACTAAAGATTAGAGCTCTATTCAGCCATAGTTTTTACTACATTTACATATAGCATACAAATTTAGTTACCTTAAGTTACCATTAATCACATTATTTATTTTAGAGTTGTAAAATTGTTGTTGTAATTGTGGTCAGATAATATTTACACGCATTCAATCACCAAGCCAAGCTTTTCAAAACTATGCAATGATATTTTTGATATTTCACTTATTTGTGATAATAATCAAAACGGTATATATTACTTCCCAAATGCACTATTCTAATAAGAGATAACCTTTTTAAAATGATTAAAAACAAACTTTTCACGCAGCCATCACTAGTCCAGACCCGTGCCATTTCAATCATCAATCAAAGTGTTTTGTTACGACTTTCATACGTCATGTCCATGCCTCGAAGCCACCGCTTTTTGCATCCCATCCACTTCGCCCCTATATCTCTGCCATGATTCGGGATCCAGTCATGCGGAGGTGTGACTGCGACACAACAGACGACATTTATGGTGTCGTCGAGAAGGATTCCCATTACCGCCACCAGACAATCAATCACATGCGCACCGAAATCAATTGTCGCAGCTCCTATTTTCGTTTTCAATTTCATTTCGCTAAATATTTATGAGGCCGAGCACTTGGGGCGTTCGATTTGTAATCCTAATGAGGCGTAATTAGAAAACATTCGATTACATTTCAGGGGCATCAATCAGTGACGCTTTTTATGGCCATTTCGAAGGGGACAACTTTAACCAGCCTAGGTTTCAATTTTCAAGCACAATATTGGTAATCCTCTAATGCCTTTCTCCCGCTTTCCACCCACTTCCCCATCTCCTGTTTCTGTTTGTTGTTCCTGATTGCTGCTCAAACTTTTCTTTCGCTCTCGACCCACTTGCTTGTGATTAAGCCTTATTGTAAAGAGGTTTTGTACGCCTTTTGATTTATAGATATTGGATCATACCACTCACCCTCCGCCAACAAAGCCCGTTGAGAGCCTTTGCAAACCGGGGATCCAAAATGGGGGGCTAGAGTTAACTTCAGGGGAAAACTTAATGGAACAGCTACCTAGCAAACTTTCCAATAAGAAAAAATGGTACATTGAAGGAATTTACGAGTATAGGTTCATCTGGTTTTATTTTGATGTGGGGCTTGACTCACCTTATTTTTTATGACATATAAATACTATAAATTACTTTGCTTATTACGAATCCTGAGAACTTGGTGTAATGCGGATGTAATTGTTGTGTTTTTTATAGTGTATTTCCGCAGCGAATTAAGAGTTCGTGCTAGCTCGCTTCCTCCATTTAGCGATTCTCACTTGTGCCTTTGTTGCATACTTTAGGCGCGCGGCTGAACTTGTTTACAGGAAAACTCTGGTCCAAGGACCCTGGATCCTGTACATTGGCCCAAACAGTGGACGATGGCCGGCACTACGGCTTCTCTGCCATTCGGCATCCTTGACAGCCGCACAATTTGCTGCCGCGTTTTTGTATCTCTCAGTGCTTGTTTGTCTGCACCAAAGCGCCTGTATTCACTGCACAGTAAAACTATTTGTTTCTTGAACTATTAAGTATAAGCTTAAAAACTAATAAAAGTGCCTAACTTATGAAGGGCTTGAAATCTTGATCAACTTTGTTGTTCAAAAAAAGGTTTTTTCAACTGGTTCACTGATGCAAAGTAAAGAAGTGTTTCTTAAGAAATTAATGTGCGGTTTTTGGACATTTTATTCACTAATCCAAAGTCGATTATATAGAATTGTTCAGCACTATTTTTCTATCTGTATGTTTGTGTGGGCGCTGTTGGCCAGCAAAAAGTTTGCGCACTGATTGCAAACTTGTTTCAATTGTTTCGTAAACCAAACCGAAGGGAAGAGCCCAGAAGAGCCCAGTGGGCGGAGGAGGAGTTGGGCGGACTTCGTGCTGGTTTTTCCGCCATGAAAGTCAAGGCAAAAGCGTCGAGCGCCGAGGCCAAGGCAATTCGCCTGCATATTTGTGTGGCTTAGTTTCCGTTTCACAAACGAAACGAAATGAAACGAACGGCATAAAAACCCATTGAAAATTTGCATACGAAAATGAAATTCAAATAGGTTTCCCATGTCCCTCGCAATCAGTTCCGGCTAGTCCAATCACAAAAAATAGTGAACGAAACTTTCGCTTTCCCTCTGCCGTTTAAGCCCCATATTTATGATCCACAATAATGCAAGGGGATATTTCATCTTTGTGGCTTATCCCCTCTGCCAGTTGGCAATTTTAATCTAAATCGTTTGGCTGACTTTGTTTATCGAGGCTTACTCTGGACGCTTCTACCTCGAATTGCGATTCGAACACTAAGTGATTTTTCATTGACTTTGTAATGCAAATTGCTTGTCTACTCGTATCTTCGCCCTCTCCCTTTGCCATTGGCAGGCTCTTTGGGCCTTTTATCACAGGAGGCCTGGGTTACAGGCCCTTCAACGATTAGAAAGCCAATAAAATGCAAATTTTTTCATCGCGTAAACAAATCCTAGCCAAAGATTTTTAGAGATGGTGGTTTTGGTGCGTGAAGATGGGAACAGAGTCGGTAACTCAATTCGAAATCGAATGCTTGAAGAAAAGAATGATTTTGGGTATACAAGTAAGCACTTGAATAACAAATACTAACTAAGGTTAAAATTAAACTAAGCAGTTTCGCTAAATAAATAAACTAACCACACACCTTTTTTAAAATTTAATATTATTTCAAATACTGTATCTGTTAACCTCAAATGCTTTGAGTTGGTTGGCCCTTAAAACTCACGACTCCATCTTCAGTGGCCGATGGAACTCAAAAACTCAAACTCAAAACCCAAACTCATTTCCATCGGCATAAGACTTGACTTGATCTGGGGCACTCGATTCGCAGCCATTGATTTAATTGTAAGCTGTTGAATTTTGATGGCTTTTAATTGTCTTAAGACCGGTTCAGCAAAAACCAATCAGGGCTCCTTTGATAAGTCCTGATGGATGGATGGTCAAACTGGTGGTAAAGGGAAGGCAAGGGGGAAGGGGGAGAGACCTTCTGTTGTCAGCAGAATAGTTTGAAATTCCACTTAGTGCTGACTACTGACCCACTTATTGGTCACTTCTGGGTCTGTGTTTCCGCTGGACTCCCGACTCCCGACTCCCATCCACTCCCCCAACCTCCTCCTCCTCCTTCCAAAGTCAACCACTTGACTAAACAGCACTCAAATTTGATTTTGATTTATGCTGCCCAGCAGTCCGCACCGAATTGCCTCCTCCGTTTTTGCCCCCACACTTTTCAACTTTCCCTTCGGCCAACTATCTCTGCCATATAAGTACAATTGCAGGCTCATAACTTTGGCATCTATCGTCGTTCGCCTTTCATATTTACATGCTCCTTACGCGCGCATCGGCGTGTAACGGAAATCGAGTAGGGTTGTTACACAGGAAAAAATTTCTTTAAAAAGTAAATGTAAACAATATTGTTCTGTATTTAAAAAGCAAACTATATGTAGTTAGATCCAGTTGCCAAAAGGGATTATTAACGTACTGAATTATAAATTTTATTTTTGATGGTTTCGACACGATTATTGTCGGTGTGTTTATGGCAACTAGGTTTCAAAAACTGGTTATTAAATAATCGTTTTAATTCTGAATTAATTAATTCTTTTATTAAACTTGAATTAAACAATTGTATTTTCAATTATAAAATTGTTTTCAGTGTTGTTTCGCTCTTCACCATTTTCTAAAAGGGTTGTCCGAAAAGACTTGCCCTCGCCCCCTAAACCTATTGAAAGCTGGCAGAGCAAACGGTTTCGGAATTTTCTTTTTGTTTTCCGCCTGCATCCCTTGGAAAAGACACGGACACTTTCCCCATTCCTCGGCAGCTTCACAATGGAAAATACAATTTTCACAATCTTTGCTTATCTTTTCATCTCTCTGTGGCTGCCTCGTTCGCTGCATGATTCGTTGTTGCTGTTGTTGGCCAACCAGAAAATCGGTAAAAAGCTAAGATCCAAAGGGGCGTGGCAGCGGCGGAGGCGGCAGCAGGATGTGTTGGCGGTGTATCCTTTGTTTGTCGGCAGTCCCGGTAATACCAAGTTGCTGCAATAAGCTCAAAAGCATCGGTTATGGACGAGGTTCGCTTGAAGATATCTTTTACTTTTATATTATATCCACCATTTCTTTAATTAAAGTTTCGTTCTCAAAAAAGAAATGGTTCTAGATTGTTAATAATTATTATTTTTTCTATCAATTCAAAATTTCTTAATAAATAATATTTTATTTAAATTTAAACTGCTTATCCATTTTCCGTTTCCTTGTAAATTCTTACCGCAGTGATTCTAATTGCTGGTTTTATAATTTAATAAAAACCGATTCTGGAATGACGTAAGACTGTTCTGAGTTGGTTCTTTTTTATGAATACGCTGAAGCTTAACAACTCTGGAGTCTTCCCTTGCCGTGTGTCAGTCTTCTTTTAGTTGTTTTTGTGTTTCTTATTGCTGTTCTCCGTTTTATTGTTGTCATAATGTGGTGGCTTGTTGCTGTTCGTCTGCCCCCAACTTTCTCCGTGTTTCTCGTACTACTTTAGAACTATTGCCACTATTGACTACCTTCTGGCTTCCCCGCCTCGCCCTTTTCTTCATTTCTGCATTTTTTACTGCTTAATGCCAGGACACGGACACAGAGAACAAACATGGGAAAGGATTCCTTTCTCGGATCCTCTTTCCACCCCACAGTTTATGCTGCTTTTCGTCCTCCTTCGGAGGTCCTACTCCCTTCCTGCATTTTTTATAGGCACCACACAAAGGTGTATTTTACTTGCCATAAACAAGGATTGCATACATTGTTCCTGCTCATCGTGTTTTTGTTAGTGTTTCTCTGGCTGCCTCCTGCGTCAAATGAGGATATTCAATTTGAACTTGATATGCATTTTATTTTGTTGCCGGTTATAAACCGAATGCTCAACAAGCGTATTGAAAATCAGAACAACCATCACACAAGGGTCAAGGGTCTAAGATACAGCTTGAAAAAGTGCCAAGCTGCCATATTTATGCATCTTAGAAGTAAATTTACATGCATAAAATTGACAATTATTTTATGTGTTGCTGTATATCGAAACTCTTTAAAATTTTGCGAATTGAAGTAGGTCTGTATATAAAGTATATTTGTCGTTTCCACGAAACATATTACAACCGTACCATGGCCTATTATAAATAATTTATTGTACTTAACAAATAAATAAATCATGAAAATATTTTAATTGCTTGAGATGTCAAACACAAAATCGAAGTTTAAAGCAATCTAGACCGCCTCGACCGCACTAAATGGGATGCAAAATAATTTATTTAGTTAAATTACACCTGCTGTTCCTGCAATTCACAGAACTCAAAGTCTCACGTTTCGACTGCAGTTTTGCCCACACCCACCGAAAATGGGATCTCGAATGCCTTCTTCTAACAATACGCACGCAATTACCGCAGGACGAGCCGAAAAGGGCGAAAACTTCAACTCCCAAACGCTTGACGAAAGTTTCCAGTTGTCCCGATGACGATGATGATGATGACGATGGCGCTGGACAAACTTTTTCAGGACTCTAATTGCCCAAGTGGCTTTCGAGCTCGAGTCGAGCGACGCCACGTAATGGAGAAAGGAGCCCCAAACTTTTGCCCAATTCAGCAGAACTGCGAACCCGACATCTTCTTCTTTAGCTGCTGCTGGGCCCACTTCTATTTCACTCACAAAATGCACAATCAAAGCTGACCGGTGGTATAAACACAAAACGAAAATTGACCAAACTCATACACAAGAAAATAAAAATTAAAAAAAAAATAGTATCTTTGGTACAACGTAAGTATTTACTTTAAAATTATTAGTTAGTTTTTGTTATAACGTTTACAGATTATTAGGAAAATATTATAGTTATTATTTTGTATTAGTTAATGTAGAGCAAATATGTAAATTATGGGTCCTTCAAGATTGTCAATTATTTTTATAGGGCCAATTCACAGAAAATTAAAAGTACAAGTTTTAATACGGTTCAACTCAGTTTTAAGATATTTATTACAAAACCTAAGATGCTCTTAAAAGTTCCTTTTTAGAATAAATTAATAAAAAGACTACACACATAATTTTCAAGTGCAAATATGACTTCATCTATGCTCTTAAAGGGCAAAGTGTTTTGGTTAATTTATGAGATGGTCAACCTTTGGTAAGTGTGGAGGGCTCCACTTGGACCAATGATGTTCAAATTTAGAGGGGAAGAGCAACCAGAAACTTGCAACTCCTTTATCACATATTCAGACTCATAAATGTTCAGTTCCAACTCCGAGTTTCCTGTGTCCAGTGCTTTAATATGTATTTTTACTTTTTGGACTAAACTTAAGTATTTTAGTTCAGTTCTAACCTGTACTTAACTTCCCGGCTTTTCCTTAACTTTTGACTTCTGTTGAAAACGGGAAATGGTTACGGAAAATGAGAAGCAACGAATAGTGAGGACTTCGGATCGAAGATTAGGTAGGTTTTCCAATTAATGTGCCATATAGCCGTATGTGATATTGTTAAGTTTAATTTGTTTTCCAAGAGAAGTGAACTTTCGCTACTTAATTTTAACCGGTTTTGCGATAATAAGTATCGCAAACAACATAATGCGCCGCAAAATCTTAACTGGGTCTCCTTTTTGACCTAATAAATAAGTGTAGCGTGTAACGAAGGTATTCTGTGGTGAGTTCTAGGATCTGTCCTTGCGGGTGCACACTATAGGGTCCGGCTCTCGCTCGTCTGCTTTGGGGGTGGAGGTCTTGCTTAGACAAATCCGCACACTAGCTACATATTATTATTTTTAAGACCAGAATTGAGTGTGCTGACGAAAATAAATGCGAGATATCAAAATCAGAAGAGAAATAGATAAAATTCAAAAAAAACAAGAGATAGAAAAGATCGAGAAAAGTTAGAATCAGCGATGCCACAGATGTTGTCGTGGTCGCGAAATGCCCACCCTACCTATGATCACCATCCTTCAGAGCTAAACTCCGGTGACCCCTAATACCCTACGATTGTGGAAGCATCAGCCGAGTTAAAAAAACGTGAACTACTCGAAATTCATTTCAAATACAATTTAATTAATAGTTATACAAGAATTCATTATTGTTATTTGCTAACAGGTAGATACTACAAATTTTATATAAATATAATAAATGATATACAGGCGATAAAAATACTATTTAGATACTTAAATATTTAAATGATGTTATCCTCATAAATTAAAGTAGTTATAATGTTCGTATATATTTAAAAAGATAAGAAATAAGAAAAATATAGGGTATTCAGATATCGTACTTCACCAATAAAAAATATTACTCTGGTATAACAATAGATATTTAAATTTCATTGCTTTAATTTATTTTTTTTATTTCACTAAATCATCTTCATTCTGTTTGATATCTTTTTGTTTAATTTAATTTAGTTTAGTGAGGCTATCGGTTCAGGGTTCTTTAAATTCACAGTTTCATTCAAGTAGATTGTTAAAAATTATTTCATAGAGTATTTCGCAATAAGATATAAATAGAATAGATATAAATGCAATAATGAGAATAATAAACTCACAGCTTATACGTTGTTCCAGCGGCGAAAGATCGATCTCCCGGGCAGGTGGCTGTAAAGGGTGAAATTGGGGCTCGAAAACACAAAACTATTCTATAAAAATCTTTTAACTTGGAACCCTTTTAGGCCTACATATTTTACTGAGAACCGACTGTGATATCTTCACTTAACCACATTTTTAAATTTAATATTCACTATTGTTTCTTATCAGAAGTTGCTATTTTCAAATTATATTTAAATTTACAAAAAAAAAATAAATATTTAATTTATCGCTTTTAAGTCATAGTTGAGCGAATTTTCCAAAACAAAATCGATGCGTAAATAACTCCACTCGTGAAAAATTAAGTTTTAAATTTAATTTAATTTAAATATTACGTTTTAGACTGAATCATTCAGACTTTAGAAAATATCACTTAAACTTGATTTTTACGGCATGTTGCTATCTTTGATTCATTAAATTTTCTTCACTTTGGCACGTTTCAAAACTTTCAAATTTTTAATTATAATATTTCACTTTAAAAAAAATCGCAGTAGCGGCTTAAAGGCAATTCCAGGTTATATATTCCCTTTTGTGTCCATATTTGGCTATACTAAATCTGCTGCTGCTGCTGCCGTGGGTAGAGAGGGTTAAACATCTCTCCAAATCACTTCTTTAATGCCGCATTCTTGAATTTAATTCCAGTTGAAACTCCTCATTTTTCTTGTCCGATTTAATTTGGGGCACGATATTAAATCATGCCCCCCACTGTCTTGAAGGGGAGCTCCCACGGATGCCAGTATTGATGGCCACGTGAGAAATATATATATCATATATATCTAAAGAAAATCTGGGGTTAGAATTGATAAAAAATCTACTTCCACCACTTACATCTCAATAGTTTTCCAAAATTAATCACAAAAATATTACTCAGCTAGGCTCGCTGCACTTATTCCTCTTATTATTTTCCACGATTTCAATATATAGTATTTAAACAAAACTTTGTTGACGTTGAGAAAAATTGGCACGTCTGCTCATATCGGATGTCAATCAGAAAAGAACCTTACCAAATATAGGTAGTGTTAGGCTAGGGTATGGTCGGAAGTTCGCCACAGATGATAACACCAGATGTCTAAAACGAGCTTCCCACTGCATCTCTGTTACAGCTGATTTATCAAACATATGTGTAATTAGCTAAGACACTAAGCCGAGCTTAGATATATTTTAAAGCATGCTTCTAGGCCGAACTAAACTATCTGGTCGCTACAGGCGCCGTTACAAAACCCCCCTGCCGCAATCAGACTAGGGTATTTCATTCTAGATACCCTAGGCTGATACCGCCTGGAGTGACGTCATTGGCGAATGTCTTTGGCGTGATAATTACCCAACAGTCGCCCTTGCAAATCTTCAAGCTCGTAGTAATTATTACCTAT